CTTGCCTTTCTATTCTGTCTTCTTATTAGCAGACTATGTCCCTGTCGGGTTGGAAACATGCTATGGATGAAGAGATGAGTGCGCTTCATCAAAATCAGACATGGGAACTTACCCCTCTTCCTTTTGGGAAACCTACGGTTGGCTGTCGTTGGATTTATACTGTAAAGTATCTTTCTGATGGTACTGTTGAGCGCCTTAAAGCCCGCTTGGTAGCCAAAGGTTATACTCAAATCTATGGTGTTGATTATCTGGATATCTTCTCCCTTATGGCTTGCCTAAATTCTGTTTCGGGTTCTACTCTCTGTTGCTGTCAATCAGTCTTGGCCTTTATATCAACTTGGTATAAAGTATGCCTTTCTTCATGGAGATCTCCAAGAGGAGGTTTATATAGATCAGCCACCTGGTTATGTTGTTCCTAGTAGTGAGCATCTGGTTTGTCAGTTGGAGAAGGCTTTGTATGGTCTCAAGCAATCTCCTCATGCTTGGTTTGATCGCTTCAGTGCCATTGTGCTCGCATATGGGTTTCGCCATTCCACTTGTGATCACTCCGTTTTTGTCTGCAACTCCTCTACTAGGGTTATTGTTTTCATTGTGCATGTGGACGACATTATCATCTCTGGCAATGACTCCACCGGTATTGCTGATTTAAAACATTATTTAGGTCAACGATTTCACACTAAGGACTTAGGTCATCTTCGGTATTTTCTTGGGATTGAGATTGCTCGCTCGTCTTGGGATCTGTTTCTCTCTCAACGCAAGTATGTTCTTGATCTTCTTTTTGATACTAGTCTCTTAGGCGCTTGGCCCAGTAATACCCCTATGGACTCTTATGCAAAACTTGAAGGTGAGACTGGTGCCTTGTTTTTGTGATATTAGTAGGTATTGACGTTTAGTAGGAAAATTGATTTATCTCACTGTCATTCGTTCGAATATTACATATGATGTGAGTGTTGTTAGTCAGCTTATGCATGGTCTTCGTCAACCTCATTTTGATGTTGTGTTTGTATCTTACGTTACTTAAAAAGTGTTGTAGGTCGCAGTCTCCTCTATCGTCCCTCTCCTTCTTTGTTTGTCACTGGCTTTAGTGAAACTGATTGGGCAGATAGTCGGACTGACCGTCATTTTACATCTACATATTGTACCTTTGTTGGGGGTAATCTTGTTACTTGGCATAGCAAGAAACATGTTGTTGCTCGCTGAGGTTGAGTTTTGTGCCATGGCTCATACAACCTCTGAGATGATGTGGGTTTGTCTTTTTTGCAAGATTTTGGTATTCACGTTCCCACTCCTATGAGCATGTGTTGTGATAATCAGGTTGCTATTTTCATTAATAATAACCCCATGTTTTATGAGTGCACGAAGCATATTGAGGTTGATTGCCATTTTATTCAGGATTTGTTGTTGCATAAGCAACTTATGACACCATATGTTCGTTCTATTGATCAATTGGGTGATATTCTCACCAAACCACTTGCCCGTTCTTCGTTTTAGCATTTATCGGTGAAGCTAGGCATGTTCAATCTCTATGCTTCAGCTTGAGGGGGAGTGTTAGAATAGTTATATGTTATATGTTATTTTTGTGTTAAGTTGAGGGTACTATGGTCATATTGTAAGGTGGTGTTTTTTATAAATATTTGTCGATGGTTTTAGGTTTATTTTAAGAACCCACAAACATATATTCAATATAATGTATTCTTCTTTTCTTCTCCTCTCTTTATCTCTAATCCTTATCATAGTTTTACTTATTTTTACATTCTAACTTGTATGTGAAATAAAATGGTACTATATGTAACATACAATGTCAAAAAGGTGCTTTATAGAAATTACACAACAAATGATATTACAAATATATGAGAAGTGTCCAATGGAAAGTATCGGACACATATCCCACATCCTTGTCCAAGTGTCATTTGTCTAACACGGGTATTGAATTTATTTTTAAGAGTCCATGTAACATAGCCCATGACCAGGAAAAAGTAGGTGGGTACTGGGAAACTGTGACTGTGAAGTGAGTGAAAACTGGTCATATATTGTGTTCTGAGGTTAGTTCATACTCTTTGTACCTGCGCCCTGAATTATTCTGATCATCATTTCATTTTATTTCTTTTAAATATTTTTATTTTTTTTTAATCTGGATTGTGAACTAACTTCTGTTATATCATCAAAAATGGCAATGGGAGAAGGCACTAAGACATAATGTATTGCATGAGCTTTGTGCTTATAAAAATATACCATATGAATTAGTACTTCCTTGGTCATGGAAGTGGGTGTATGGAGGATTTGGAAATTTGTTATCAAGATCCCTTTTTGATTGGGTTCTTTACTTCTTGATGGTTATGGTCTGTGAAGATTGGATCTTATGTGTTAAGTGAAAACCTTTTTAGTGGAGGTGCTCACTTTCTATGTTTGACCTTCTTGGGGTGGATTAATCTGTTATGTATGATGGATTAGGAAAATTGGGATTAATGCTGCCTACAGTAGAAATTGCGGTGGGTTTGGATATGAAAAGCTCCCAGGGTTAGGGTTCTAAGAATTAGCAGACTTTATTGTTTCTAGAAGAAGAAAGGTGTAATTGGTTCAATTTTAGAAGTTGCAGGTTGCTGAATTGTCAGAATTAGTGTGATTCATGGTTCTAAACAGCGGTTATTTTGTGGATTTGTTTGTTAAATTGAAGGCCAATGTGTAGGAAAGGGTTCAGGCTAAGAAGCACCAACTACTTTTAAGAAGGTAACGTGTCATTACACTGACATGACGCAACACTTGTCGGACACTTCTCAACACTTTTGCACACATGAAACCCATTACAAGCTTGAATAAAATAACTTGGAATCCAAAGATAAAACAAAAATAATGTAAACGATCCATTTGTTTGGGTGGAAAACATTTTCTAGAAAATGTTTTTTGTATTTTCTGGTGTTTGGTACAATGGAAAACGAAAGTCAACAGAAAACATTCTCCATGGTCGATAGAAAACAAGTCTATATAAGCAGAAAATGTTTTCTATTTTTAAAAGGCGAAAAACATTTTTTAGATTAAAGTCTTACCAATATCACCATACTACCACCGCAATTCTCACCTCCACCAACCACACCACCATCACCATGGCCATTGCCACCATTACTACCACTATCACCGCAGCTGCTGTGGCCCCACCACCGTGCCACCACCTCCACCTCCACCACCACCAAACGTAGAAAAATGTTTTCTCTAGAAAATATTTTATGGAAAAAGTTTTCTATAGAAAATTTTTTATGCCCAAACAAATGGAGCGTAAATTTATACTTGTTCTCCTTCTTTAGACTTAAATATTCATATATATGATATATAATAATTATTTATCCTTATATATGACATATAATAAATATATAAAATTATATATTTTGCACGTATTCCCCACGTGTCTCGTCATACTTCTTTTGAAAATTATATGTGCCAGCATATTCATGTCGTGTCACGTGTTCGTGCTTCTTAGCATTTAGGCTTGGTTAGAGCTAGATTGGAGCAAATTTTGGTGCAGAAATCAAGGCTGTTCTCAGGTCATGAACTATAAGATAAGAATAGCGTTTTGGTTGTTATATGCGGAGAAGATGAAGAAGAAGAAAGAAACTCTCGGAATTACTCACAGAACTCCTTAGAGTTACCCCCCTAAAGCTTCACAAATTATCACACAACGCTTCAAAGGCTTCCCACAAATTTTCTAAAACTCAAGTCTATAAAATAATGTTTTTATAGGTTGTTGGTTCTAATTTTACTAGGTCTATGACTTTAAACTATTGATGCTGTTCTTCTAATCCTTCTATTCATGTAGATAATGCAAGGATCAATGCTATCTCTCTGTTCAACTGGACTGTGTTGACAGTAGGCAATAATCCATATGCAATGGTATCAATCATGTAAAGCACTATGTAAACATTTGGGGTTGCAGTCTCTTATGGTGGAGGATCAACAATTGGCGATTGCGATATTTCATATGATCTTGTGTTGTATGGGACAATTTCTGGGATTTTGAATGACATAAGAATTTGACTAGATACACTTGGGAATTGAATAGATTTCATATACCTTGTGTAAGTGGATCCTAATCATGTTATGGACACGACACAATATGATCTCATCTTGTATAGGACCATCTGTGGGATTTTAGAGTCAAATAAGCATATGATTAGATCACGTGGGAAATTAAACATTGGGTTTCACATACCTTGTTTAAGTGGATACTAGTCATGGATGTCTGAAAAGCATTAATTGTAACCATTTATACTAAATCGTAATGTCTATTGTTGATTCAAGAATAACTTTCTGAGATGTGTTACTTTGCAACCGAAGATCATGAATGTGCTTGTGCAGGACAGGGATTGTATAATTTCAGGGTATATTTATTAGAAATCTTGAATTAGAACGGATTAGATATGCCTATTCAGTTAGAAAGGTTTATATGGTATTGGAATATAGTATGAAGTAAAGCAGAAAAGAGATCAGTTTTAGCAAAATGCAGTTGATGTCCAGTTTCTGGTCTATAAAATTCAGAATAAGAGAGAAATGTGTGTAACATTCTGATTGCTTTTGGATTGGCTTATCAATCCAGGAAAAATCATCCCTAACCATGTTCCATGACATAAAGTTGTTGAAAAGATTATCAGTGTTTCCAGTTCAAGTCTACTGCAATACATTTTGCTATGGTTCTACAGTGATATTACCACATTTTGTGACTTGTATAGATTGTCCTGTATCGCTGTCATTAGTGAGAGAGATATTTTTGACAGTGTTGAATAATGAACTACAATTTGGATAACTTTTACTACATAATTTTGTGATGATTATTGTGGTTGCAATATTTCTAGGTATAGTAATTAGTAAGTAATTGAATTGCTGTTTTTATTTTGTGTATTTGTCTCAAGGAAAGTAGTTGACCTGAATTAGTTCTTGGTTCAGTTAGTTCCAAGCCTTTTTTTATTATTTTTATTTTTTATTTTTAAATAACTGCTATTATTTTGGAGCAGGATGTGGCTTTTGTCATTGATGGCTGGGCTCTTGAAATTGCACTTAAGCATTACAGGACAGCATTCACTGAACTAGCAATTTTGTCAAGGACAGCTATATGTTGCCGTGTTACACCATCTCAAAAAGCACAGGTGCTCTTTATTAGTTCTTGAATGGTCTATTAGTTACAATCATTCGTAGATTATTTTAGATTCACTTTTTTTTTTGGTAGTCATTATTTATTATTATTTTTTAAAGACTTTCCCTCTACCTATATACCTTGTAGTAGTAATATGAAATGAACATAACTTGTACAAGGTACACTACACTGAAAATGAAAAGGAGCAAGGGAAAATTATAGAACCGTGGTGACTAGGGAAAAAAAAAATCACCTATCAGGAGAGAATCTATCTCCCACTTTCTTCCCCCTCCTTTTTTATCCTCTCACATATCACACACTCTCTCTTCCCTCTCTTTCTTTTCTCACATCATGCACACTACCCCTCTTCTCTCCCTATTTTCTTCTCTCTTTCGCCCTCCTCTTACATCATCACACACTCTCTTCCATGGTTCAAGAAAAGGCTGGTTAGAACCGGTTTTTGCTCCACCGTTTCAGTTATTTACCATTGAGAACCAAAATTGCAAGTGAACCGGCCTCGTGTTACATTTTGCACAGTGCTGGAACTACTTATCGATTCATTGCCGAACCGGTCTGGTTCAGCAAATTAATTAATTAATAATTTCTTAAATTTAAACTTGAAGTATTTATTTTATTAATAAACAAAAAAATCAATAACCATCAAGCAATGTAGATCAGATAGTGGGCCAAATGGCATTTCTCTTCTTTGCTGGAGACTAAGAGACATTTATAATAGTGGGGCTCCTCAGATTTCATTCGGCCAATTGATGTGAGATTCTGCACAAGATATAAGCATTGAGGCTACTTACTTATAATGAAGTTAACACGCTTTTAGGTCGACGTGGGATTGCAAGAATAGAAATGAAATAGTTTAAAAAAGACGTGTGCTACTGGCCTCATAAATTAAATTTTCTCGATAAAACATTGATGAGAACTAATTCATACCATTATTCAATTTGATACGTTTGACATGTCAACATTAAAATAGTCTAAACATGCATATCTTTTAGTTTTAGAAGAGCTGTTGATAATTTAAAAAAATTCACAACTGGGTCACCCGATTCCCAATGTTTACAGCTCAATAGTCTTGATACAGTTACACCACGATCGTTAGTGCTACATGTCCTAATATCGTGATTTAAAACCATGCTTTCTTCTCTCTCTCTCTCTCTCTATTCCTTCTCTTTCTTTCTTCTCTCTTCCAATCACAAAAAATAGTCAAAAAAAGTTGGCATAGGGGAAACTGGCAAGGTTGAACAGTTAGACCTTTTTTTCTATTTCTTCATTTCATTATTATTATTATTGTTATTATTTTCATTTCAATTTTTTTAAAGTCAAAGCTTCAACTCTAAAAATAATTTAAGTGCAACTGAGTTCAATTCAGATAAAATAACTACATAAATAAAGTAGTGCTAATAATTTTTTAAAAAAAAATGTGCGCAATTTTGTTTGACTAACTAAAGGGAGAAAAGGGAAAACAAACAAAAAAAAAAAGAATCAATCAATTGTGGCCAATGATCATGTATTATTTGTGGAAGGCAAGTGTTGTCTATGAAAAGCTAGTGTTTAACATGCTCAGTGCAAATTTAGTGTGGTAGTTGAACAAGTTCAATGTGCCCTTAACTTCTTAAATTCTACTTTGATTGGTAATCCTATCTTTTCTTATAGTTAGAATGTAAAATAAAGAAATTAGGGTTGAAAGTTAGGAGGAAGAAGAAGAAGAGAGAGAACTTTTCGTATATATTGAAAAAATTGTTCTGCCTCAACTTTACATCAGTCAAATATATATAAAAACCCTAAAGTAGCAATATGACCATCGTGCCCTCAACTTAAGTAAATATTAACAAGAGAACAAAAGAACAAAAATAACTATTCTAACACTCCCCCTCAAGCTGGAGCATAGAGATCGAACATGCCTAGCTTTGCAGACAAACGAAGAAAGGAATGCTGAGCCAAAGGTCTGGTTAGCATATCACCCAATTGATCCTCAGAACGAACATAAGGAGTCACCAGTTGCTTGCGGAGTAAGAGATAACGAATAAAATGGCAATCAGCTTCGATATGTTTGGTGCGTTCATGAAACACAAGATTATTGGCAATGAAGATAGCAGCCTAATTGTCACAAAACATGCTCATAGGAGTGGAAACAGAAAAGCCAAAATCTTGGAGAAGAGACTGAACCCAGAGCATCTCAAAAGCAGTATGAGCCATGGCACGATACTCAGCCTCGGCACTAGAACGAGCAACGATAGTCTGTTTCTTGCTACGCCAAGTGACAAGATTACCACCAACAAAAGTACAATAGCCCGAGGTGGAACGGCGGTCAGTCTTATTACCAGCCCAATCAGCATCACTGAAGCCAATGACAGACAAAAAGGAAGATGGGCGATAGAGCAACCCCCGACCTGGAGCACGCTTTAAGTATTGCAAGATATGACACACAACCACAAAATGGGTTAGGCGGGGAGCATGCATAAATTGACTAACCACACCCACGGCATAGGTAATAAATGGATGAGTGACAGTGAGATATATTAACTTTCCAACCAACCGACGATAACGACCAATATCAGGAAAGAAGTCGCCAGTGTCACCATCAAGCTTGACGCTAGAATCCATGGGAGTAGCACTGGGGCGAGAGCCTAAGAGGCCAATCTTGGTAAGAAGATTAAGAATATACTTCCGTTGAGAAAGAAACAAGCCTTGAGAAGAGCGAGCAACTTCAATCCCAAGAAAATACCAAAGATGGCCCAAGTCTTTGGTGTGAAATTGTTGTCCCAAATACTGCTTCAAAGCAGCAATACCATTGGAGTCACTCCTTGAAATGATGATGTCATCCACATAAACAATAAGAACAATACGCCCAGTAGACGAGTGGCAAACAAAAACAGAGTGATCAAAGGTGGAACGGTGAAATCCATAGACAAGCACAACAACACTGAAGCGATCAAACCAAGCATGTGGGGATTGCTTAAGACCATACAAGGCCTCCGCAATCGACAAACAAGATGCTCTTTGCCGGGAACAACATAGCCAGGGGGCTGATCCATATAGGCCTCCTCGTAGAGATCACCATGGAGAAAGGCATTCTTGATATCCAGTTAAGGCCAAGACTGATTAACTGCAACAGAGAGGAGAATCCGAACAGAGTTAAGACGGGTCACAGGAGAAAAGGTCTCCAAGTAATCAACACCATAGGTTTAGGTGTAGCCTTTAGCTACCAGGCGAGCCTTAAGTCACTCAACAGTTCCATCAGGAAGATACTTAACAATATAAATCCAACGACAACCCACAATAGATTTGCCAGATGATAGAGGGGTAAGGTCCTAAGTCTGATTTTGACGAAGAGCATGCATTTCCTCATCCATGGCAGACTTCCAACTAGAGATGGACATAGCCTCCAGATAGGTGCGAGGAATGGAAATACTAGACAAACTACAAGCAAAAGAGTGAAGACCAGGAGAGAGGCGATCATAAGAAACGAAATGAGCAATAGGATGTTGAGTGCAAGTGCGTTTACCTTTGCGGAGTGCAATAGGAAGGTCATCAGATGGTAGAGCAACAGGTGGAACAGGGGCCTCAAACGAAGGAGATGAACTGGTCGGGCCATAAGACACAATGCGACGAGCTTGAGACCGTTGATAAACCTGCAAAGGAGTGGTAGAAGTGAGAGGAGATGGAGAGGATACAGGCGTGGATGTGGAAGGAGCATAAGAGGGAAGGGTAGGAGTGAGAGAGGCTGGCTCCCCCTCACGAGAAGAGAGAAAATCAGTAGAGCAATAGGATGTTGAGTGCAAGTGCGTCTACCTTTGCGGAGTGCAATAGGAAGGTCATCAGATGGTAGAGCAACAGGTGGAACAGGGGCCTCAGACGAAGGAGATGAACTGGTCGGGCCATAAGACACAATGCAACGAGCTTGAGACCGTTGATAAACCTGCAAAGGAGTGGTAGAAGTGAGAGGAGATGGAGAGGATACAGGCGTGGATGTGGAAGGAGCATAAGAGGGAAGGGTAGGAGTGAGAGAGGCTGGCTCCCCCTCACGAGAAGAGAGAAAATCAGTAGATAACTGTTGCCCAGAGGAAGAAAAAAACGGAGTAGACTCAAAAAAGGTTACATCAACACTAACAAAGTAGCAACGAGACTCAGGATTATAACACCGATACCCTTTTTGAGTGCGAGAATAACCTAAGAACACACACTTGCGTGCACGAGGAGATAACTTATCCAACCCAGGGTTAAGAACATGGACAAAGGCCACACACCCAAAAATGCGAGGAGACAAGGGAAAAAGAGATGTAGTGGGATATAACAGAGAATAGGGAGATGTGTGTGCAACACTAGAGGGCATACGATTGATAAGAAAACAAGTAGTGAGAACGGCATCGCCCCAAAATTGTTTGGGGACATGCATATTAAACATCAGGGTGCGAGCAACATCTAGAAAATAGCGGTGTTTCCGCTCTGCAACACCATTTTGCAGGGATGTATGAGAACAACTAGTTTGATGAATGATACCATGAGCATCACAAAAGGTAGTTACAATAGATTGCACATATTCTAAGGCATTATCAGACCGAAATATCTTAATATGTTTGCCAAATTGAGTAAAGATTTCATTATAAAACTTAGAGATGATGGAAGGCAAATCAGATCTTTGTTTCATTAAAAACAACCAAGTCATCCGAGAGTAATCATCCACAGAAATAACAAAATAAAAGAACCCATTAACAGTGGGAGTTCTAGAAGGACCCCAAATATCTGTATGGACAAGAGCAAAAGGCTTAGACACCCGACTAACACTACGATGAGGAAAAGAACTACGATGATGCTTCCCAAATTGACAAGCTTCACACTTAATCTGAGAAACATGACTCAAACCCGGAACAGCTAACTTGAGCTTGGCCAAGGAGGGATGACCCAAGCGAAAATGCCACTGAAGAGGAGATACCCCTGCACTCAACACAGCCGATGGAGGAGAAGGAGAAGTCTCAGTGTCCAAAAAGTATAAGCCATCCTTCTCATGCCCCGAACCAATCATTCTCTTGGTCT